GAATCCCTGTATTTATGCTGTACAGCCATAGAAATTTAATCGGAAATTCAGAATTCTGCCAAAAAAAAAAAAGAGGGCTAAGAGTTTTCTGCAGGGTTTCAGAAACTAGGCCTGCTTTTCCATTTAGCAGGCACAGATCCTGTTTGTTTGCTTAAATCACCTTTTCAATATCTCATCCATGGATCCAGTCACCATAATGGAGATCTAATGTATGCTCACTGAATGCCTATTCTTGTCTGTAAATAAATGGAGTACATTCTGTGTATCCTTCGAGGAGGAGGTGGATTACCAGCTGCAGTCACAACTCTGGTGCTTGTCTGGGACAATACTGTTAATCAGGTCATACTTTTAGGCACAAGGGTACATTGGACAAAAGGCCCGTGGAATTATGAACTGATCTGGCCTGGATATATATGGCCTATTGTATGGACTACTGACATGAGGAATGGTGTGCATATGGATTGACATCAACGAAATATTTATGCACAGAACAACTGACTTTTCTGTGTAAAAAGGGCTGAGGATTCATTCTAGCCTGGATTTTGCATGATGGAATGAACAAAAAAGACAGATACATATTTGCTATGGCAACAAGGCTCTGGATGAACTGGAAGGCAATGGGATAGTATGGACAGACTACAAAGTTTGATACTGTACTTTCATTAGCTTCAGGTGCAGAGTGTAGCCAGATAAGATGATATGGTCACATCATGTGCTGCAGGACAAGGGATGATTTATTTTTTGGAAGTTAAGAAAGGTGGTATAATGTACTTTCCCTTCCAATTTGCCATCTACCAGATCAGAACTGAGTTATGGGGTGAAGGTCAGGAAGCCAGCCAGAAAGTAGGGAAAATAGGGACACCAGTGGAGCAAGAAACAATTGTTGCTTGGGACTCAGACTGAGAGTCACATTCATTCATAGTCAAATTCATTCACATGCACTTGTAGATGTTTCTCAGTGTACTTTTTCTCATTTAATTTTTACATTTGCAGATTTTGACTGTTCTAGGGACTGGAGGCCTTAGTGTGCCTTGATGATTTCACTACTCTGTTTTACATTTTTCCTTCTGATTTTCCCATCTGGATTCTCCTGGATTGATTCTCCTGCACATTTCCCTGAATCCTCAGGAACCTGTTCCTTGAGAAAGGTAGCTATATGTTTTTCTTTCTCAGTCTTTAGGCCAGACATACTTGCATAGTTGCAACATACTGAGCTTCAACTAGAATGCTGGTGGAAGACTAGGAGCAAATATAATGCTTTATAAAGTGCTAACTGTGGTTAATTTTGCATAACCGTAATTTCATCTGAGACTTAAATACAGATTGTTCTGCTTTGCATTTTGAATATGTGGTTTTCATGCTAGATAAGGAAAATCAAGGATTTTTCAGGAGTTGCTCTGCCTCCCACCCCCAATGTACTGAGATAGAACAATCTCCCCTTGTTCTCTGTTGCTATATTTTTCTAGATATTTATGGCCTTGTTCTAAAAACACTGAAAACACTAGTCCTCGTACAAATGGGAGATACCAAGAGCTGTTCTACCACTATTATGCCATACAGAGGCCCAAATGCTCTTGCATAGTTACCACCTCTTGCATTGTGAGTTGCGTATTCTGCAAAAGCCTAATTACACAACTCACACTGGCTTCTTACTAGCAAATACCAACTCTCCACTTGGATTTTATGGCATGTGCCAATTCACTAGACTGACAAGTGCTGGAAATTTGAAGCAGAGACATCAATTAGCAGCAAGTTATGCCATTTGCCTTCTACATGTATAACAACGCAACATTGGAAGGCAATTACCTCAGGCAGCAGATGGCACCAACTACTGCCTTTTTTCCACTCAGCCATGGCCACTACCCTCTATTACTGGGCAGAGCTGTGCATGCATACCATACAATCTACTTCATGGCATCATAAACTACAGTCTTGGTATCCCATGACAGTACTGAAATAAGATTCAGCTTGGCTTCTGAACAGACTCTATGCATCTTGCCCATTCGCACACCATCCAATCTACTTCATGGCATCATAAACTAGTCTTGGTATCCCATGACAGTACTGAAGTAAGATTCAGCTTGGCGTCTGAACAGACTCTATGCATCTTGCCCATTGCTTCAGGCAGCAAAGTATCTTTGTCTCTCCTTGATTTGTTAGTATTTGTAAGTCACCAATTAACATTCAATTAATGTGTTTGCTGTGTTACAGTACACTGCCAGTGATTCTAGTTAGGAAGGGGCAGTAGAAAGTTGGATCAGTGACTGGTGCCATCCCATTACCCATTACAATCAGACATATGTATCACTAGCTCATAAATTCTGCACACAGTGTCTTGTACAGTATTGGGTAAATACACTGTCTAGGTTACAATGCTGGTACATACACTGATCTCCTTGTTCCACAGCCTGAAGATAGTCAGCTGTCCTTTAAAACCAATTGAGAGATACCAGAACCCCTTCCTTCTAAGCTACCGCAGACAAGTCACCACATCAAATAACAACACAGATTTTCTCTTGCCTTGCCTTGCCTTGCCTTGCCTGGACAAGTCATCACATCAAATAGCAACACAGATTTTCTCTTGCTTTGCCTTGCCTTGCCTTGCCTTATCTATTCAGTCTAGTATTAGACCTCCAGCCTGCCTGTGATGTCATCTCTTATCTCTAGCCCTTATTTCTCATTTGCCCAATCCAGTGTCAGATCTTCAGCCCATGAAGGATCACAACTCCCACTTTTGGTCCACATGGCAATTGCTTTACCTGTGCCAGGCCCAAATTTGCCACAAACTAGATTCAAGCCTAAAACTAACATGTTCCACATTGATTGGATACGAAGCGCAATGGCAGCAACAAAAATACTGGGGGTGGCAGTGGCGAGAGAATATAAGAGTTCTATATAATATATGATACAAAAAATGGTCAAAACTGGTATTCTTTAAAAACCCAGTTCATCTGTTTTAAATTTAATTTTAGAATGGGCCTTTGAACTTAGTTGAAGTTGTTCCTTCTTCTAAATTATAGAGGACATGGTAGGAACCTCCCCAAACAACGTGAATGTCATGGACACCTTTCAACAACAGCATCCTATTGACTGATCTTTCCACTCTGGAAGCACCACTGGATCTCTTCTAGAATGAATGAATGAAGAACAAAATTATCTTTCCACCCAAAACAGCACCACTAAACCTTGTTCTTTGCAAAATAAACCACATAATCAAAACCTGAAAGAGTAACTTCAGCAATCATTTCCTGCCCAAATAACACTTCTAAAAATACTTTTTTCCCCTTTACCACAAAATGCATTATGTTTTAATTGTGTTGAGATTCCTATTTCAGAGCGAACAAAGCCATGAGAACATTTAATTAATTGCTCATATAAAAGTCCCCAAAAGAAAGTAATTCAAACATTGTAACTGAATCATAGAATCTAGACAGGGTTCCAAGTAGGTCCAATGCCTCATCCACTTATGCTTTTATATTTGTACAAACGCAACGTATACGTGCGTTGTTGCACTTTATACCATTAGCTTGTACTCTGAGATACAATAACTTACTTTACAAGTATAACAATGGAATCAATTCAGTTGACTTCAAAAGATTTCACATCTACCAAATAATAGCATAGAGTAACAAAATGTATGTTAAAAAAAACCACAGAAAAAGTGGAAAAAATTAAATATTATTTTGTATATTTTATTTAAAGCGTAAGTCCAAAAGAAAAAAGAAAAGAGAGAGAGAGATTTGTGGGGGAAGTACTTAGCTCTGGGGAAATTAAGTACAGTGCTGGAAAATACACTGTAATTTTGGTCACTGACATCAATAAACCCACATTTTAAAAGGAGATGTTCTGATATATCCCCCCTCCTCACCTGAACAAAGAAACCTGGCAGATTTTTTTATTTCCAATAACTCATTACCTTTGGAATTTGGGATTATTTAGAATAGCTTCTATAAAGATGTAGGTTAACGTTTTTGACATAAAATACACACAGTAAGTCTTTGGTATCTCCAGTCCAAGGCTATTTATTGTCCAGTGAGTGAGCGTACAAATGCAGTTGAAGACTTAACTATTATCTGCTGAGGAACAATTCATACTTCTCACATTTTGCCTTCCATAGCAGACAAGAGGATATAGCTGCACACAGATTCTTTAACTCAGAGCTTTGTTTATCACTACCATTCCACCCCTGCTATAATGGGTATGTGTGAAGTAAGCAAACAAGCGGTATCATGTGCATGCAACCAGGGAAGAAACAACCCAGAGGAAATGTTTATGTCCTATTTTCTTAATCTTAATGGACATATTCAATTCAGTAACAACAACAATAATAGTAATATAGAACTGTATGACCAAAAAAGGGGGAAACAATAATAAGAAAATAAAATAATATCCTCTTTTTCAGTTTGTTATGGAGAATTTAAATTGCCTTCACCAGTTCCAGACTGATATTTATATATACATACTTAACTGTGTCAGCAATCTAGTTTTAATATTTTTTAAAAAAGAAACTGCATGCCTTTCCCTGTCTTAAAACATTTTGCCAGTTACATATTATGAGCACTGCCCAGTCAAAAGTTAAGCACACTCAAGCCTTCTGTGATTTTAGTCAAAAATAGTGCACATGTTTTACTACATGCACTGGAAACAGTACCCAGAAGTGCTTCAAAGTTCAGTCCTATGCATGTTTATTGAGAAATGAATCACACTGTATTCAGTGTGGATTAGTCCTACTTTAGAGTGCACTGGGTTATAGCCTACAATTGACTGGATACTGTTTTATCTGTTTAAGGTTTTTTATTATATTTTTTCCTTCCGACTAACCTCTGGACAAGTCTATGTTATGTGGATTTGCTAGTGTAAATCGAGTGTGTGGGTGTTGTGTTTGCCCCTACCATTTTCCATATGCTCTGCCTCACCAACACTGCCATCCGGCGTAGTCCTTTCGTAGTTGTCCTCTGGGAGTGGAAGGGCACCCAGCCTCGGCCCTGAAGAACTCTTACTGCTTGGTGTTTCTGACTCCTCCAGACCGCTGTCATAGCAACTCTGCAATGACCCCTGATGTGGGTCCTGAGGCTGACTCACAACTGAAAACGTCACTCTACGGAATGGCTGCAAAAGAAAAGATTCTGAATGTCACTTAAAAGGTAGGGTCTTTGAGAAAGCCATTCTTTAACAAAAACAGCACAAAAAATACCACAGTTGAGCCCCAATATCTGAATGCTGGTTAAACAACAACTAATCTAAATCTGTGGTTAAACAACTAATTTCATTCCCATGGAACTTCACTTTCCATGTAATGCATGATTTGCTTATCTAAGTGATTTGCATCTTTTGCAGGGCAGCTAAGCGATGTTGGCTTCTATGCACTTTAAAGATAACTAAATCAGCTATACTCAAAGGGTGACATGAATCTCTCAAGGAGCCAAGAAGAGCACATGATTTCTGCACACATGCCTTTATACTTGAAGCTTGGCAGCTGTAGGTTGTTAATTATTCTAATGAAAAGTCCAGCATTATGAACGATGTGAGGAGATAAGAATCTTCTGTCTGTGATGATCAATCTGGCAAGGGTGGCTTCCCACATACAAACCACCACTTAATAATGCAACAGTCAAATAATGAGCATGTATGCATGACACCAACCAAATGGACAACTGGCAGGAAAGATGCAAGTTCCTCAAGCAATATGCCTTCTTACCAAAGAGTCAATGCCTTTACTCTTAGTCATTATATTGTGAATTTCCCTATCCTTGTCCAACATCATTGGCTCATAGCAGTGATGAAGAAACTCAAAACAAGTAAGGATTCCTAGATATTACAGATATTTCACCATGGAGATGTTGATTTCAGACACATTCCCACAAAGGCAGTAATATTTGCCCCATATTTCCCAATACACCTTGACAAGGTGATATGACAGATCTATCAGAATCACACTTTCTCAGCAGTGGGCCCTGAGCTGTGGATCTGGTAGTGACTGAGTGCTGAGGAGTGGGAGAGCTGATTCTCTGTTTCTGAGGTGTTGAGGCCCCTAAGCTTTAGTAAGGAACTAAAAGGAATATCATCATCCAAAAGGAGTTTCTTCTTTTCCCAGTTTTTCCTGAAGAAGTACTTTAGATTTTGAACTACAAGAGTTCACATTGAAATAAACATGTTCGTGTTATAACATTTTACCTTTTACCCCTTCTACTTCCTCAAGTTTCCAATCACTCCAGGACATGGATGAGAAATCTATGGCCCTCTAGATATTTCTGTACCCCCACCCCCACCAGGGCCAGCCAGCTTAGTTAGCAGTCATTGACAATTGTAGTCATGGCCCTTTCAAATACTGTTAGACTTACTGAATGCTTTGTGATATATCAGTGTTTTGTCTGCATTATACCCAGAGAGAGTCAAGAACTGTCTCAAGGGCTTATTGGTTGAGTCTAGAGGGATTTTTCAGCAAGACATATAAGATCCACACAGTTAAAGCCTTCTACTTCAATGCAGAATCTGTCCATTAAAAAAAAAGAAATTACATCATACTCTTTAAAAAATCCTCTCTCATTTTTGGAAACATGAATTTTGGAAAGCCCTTTTTAAAAAACAAACAAAAAACCAAGCCCAAATGGTCACCTCACCTATCCCTTCTGTGTTCACTCACACCAAACTTTTGTAACATATATTTTCCAGGATGTCATGTGTTAAAATGGCTTGAATGTAGTGTTGTTCTAGAAGACACTGGACAAAGACTGCCACAAAAGATTTCAACATGAAACCTTCATGCTGTCTGGCATTAAAGCTCTTCTGCAGAAAGGCCAAAAAGATGTAAGATTTTATAGACACCATAAATGTTACAGTAAAGTGTGGCTGCCAGTAACACTCACATACACATGGGCATTTTAAAAATCAATGTCTGCAATTTCAAAAGCCAGGCCACATAAAGGATGTAACAAGAAGTAAAAGAAAAGGAAAATGGTCCAGTCACTCCACTCTTTTGCCACAAAATTTAATGCTGAGAGACTGGGTGTTCTGCTAGCTGACTTAATAAAGCCTTCAACCTACTGCAGCCACAAATGACACCACAAGTTTCCACTGGGACTGTATATCCATTGATTATTATTATGGATTTGTGTTCACTCAAAAATGTCAAGAAAGCCCCCAAGGAATAACTGACACTATAAAAGTGTATTCATTGCTCTCTGACACCCAAAGGGATTTTGGGAAATGGGAGAGACAGAGAAGTTTTGACAACAGAAGCTCTCAGCAGTGACTAGGCACCAAAACCAAACTCAAGGAAAGCACATGTGTCACTTTCACCTGTTTTCAGCATCCACTGGAATCCATACAAAGAGATGTCGTGTGTAAGAGTATGCAACTCACAAGTTTGAGCCATTGCATTTCAGTAGTAGTAGGAGATACCTCACCTGAATTCACTGACTTTATCACTCATGTTTTACTGCTCATATGGCTGGATCCTTGCCATGAATGTATGGGAGGGAGGATGCTTGTGGTGCAGGATGACAACCAAGTTAAAATGTGTTTGAATGTTACTCTACTTGATTAGATAAAGTGTTACTTTGTTTTCAACACCAAAAGAACAGACACTTCTGAAAGTTTACAGTAATCACCTTCATAACCTGGGTGTCTCCTACATTTTTGCTCTAACCTAACTTGAAAATAAGCCCCAGTATGATTTTTCAGGATGCTAGTAATATTAGCCCTACCACAAAAATAAACCCTACTTAAGTGAAACCCCACCCTCCACCATTGTGCAGCAACCAGAAGATGACCAGAAGTATTTGAATAAATGTAGATTGTTGTACATGAAAAAAATAAAACACCCCCTGAAAATAAGCCCTAATGCATTTTTGGAGCAAAAATTAATATAAGACCCTGTCTTATTTTCAGAGAAACATGGTAGTGAAAGCACTAGATGATTTGAGGAACCCAGGGCTGCTATCCCAAACACTGGTTTATCTTTAATTTTCTTCTCCACGTCTATAATGTCCAGTACAACTTGCTGTCCTGACACACTGAACTCCACAATATATAATTACATGTTTTCACAGATGGTATTAGGACTTTGGGAATTTATTAGATGTTATGGAAGATGACAGGGGGTTTCAAATTCCCTCTCTCCATTTATTCTGGCATTTAGATCCTGTTTCTTTCTTATCATTGATCTACCCTAACATGTTAATACTATGTGTAGTAGGTTAACTGGGAGTCTATGTGCTGCATAGAAACTCACAAGGCAGTGGGGGTGACACTGGCAAAACCACTCCTTAAATATCTCACTTACATAGAAAACCCTATCAGGATCTCTATAAGTCAGATTTGACTTGATGGTACATAACACGCACAAGCTGAGCAGCCAGATGTTTATAGAATCAGGATCCCTATAAGTCAGATTTGACTTGATGGTACACAACATGCACAAGCTGAGCAGCCAGATGTTTATAGATGCTCATAAGCAGGGCCAGTGATGGCTTTCAACTACTTGTCTCAGCATGTGGTATTTTGCAATATGCTGCCTCTGTAAATGGAGAAGCTATAATTTTAGGAAAGGCTCTCTCTCACACAAACACATTTTGTTAACCTATAAGTCAGATTTGACTTGATGGTACACAACATGCACAAGCTGAGCAGCCAGATGTTTATAGATGCTCATAAGCAGGGCCAGTGATGGCTTTCAACTACTTGTCTCAGCATGTGGTATTTTGCAATATGCTGCCTCTGTAAATGGAGAAGCTATAATTTTAGGAAAGGCTCTCTCTCACACAAACACATTTTGTTAAAAAAAATGGACACTATATTATCTGTCCAAGGTATTTCCAAGTTCCACAGATTTCAATGGTAAGTCATATGTTCTAGTATTTTCTTCTGAAAAATCAGTGGGGCAAGTATTGAGCATTGTTTGGATTCTGCTTCCATTTTTCTTTTAAATATGCACAACAAAAAGCAACAACCCAATAACAACTCTTTTTACTTGCTTTCAGGAGGCCTAAGATCATTTTTTTAAACTGAATTTTGAATGAATCCACGCCAACTTGTATTCTGTTTCTAATTAAATCAGTATGAATTAAGTGGCAGGAAGTGCAGCTTTGTTCTCCATGGTGCTTTAGCTCCATTAAATGTGGGGTGGGGATAAGAATTACTCTCAGAACCATAATAGTCATGCATCCCCTTGGAGATATAGCTTTTCCAAAGAGGAAAAGAAACATGGAACATGCCCTTACTGTTAACTATGACTGGTTAGCCCATGTTGGAGGGACACTTAAGCATAATCATGCAAATCATATAAAATCCTGGATCAGTACATTCAGTGGAGTTCATTATACTGTCAAGTTTCATTGGCTATTTTTGGTTCTTTGACACAGTGGCTGCTATATTCATCTATTCATATTACTTCCATGTAAGCTGACCTGCTGATTCGATTATGGCTAACATGAGGTATTTTTGGTTTTTTGGGGAAAAAATCATTGTCTAGTCATTTAGTCGTGTCCGACTCTTC